TGTAAAACATCTTATACAAATTTTCTTTATAAGCTGTAGACATTGTCATTTTATAATTCTGCGACCATAATTTCTGCCATTTCTCTAAATCAATCCCATATCCAAAATTCCTCCCCCAAGCAATCATAGTTTCTTTAACTTGTTCTTCCTCTAGCTTAATTCCCAATAAGTAACCATATAGTTTTTTAATCATCTTTTCATCAGTACCTGTCAAAATCTTATCTAAATCAGTCTGTTTATCATAAAATCCCTCTGTTTTGGAATCTTCATCATACCTTGAGTGTATTTGCGCATATGAAAACCAATTCATCTGTATACCTTGTTCCTCTAAGTTTTGTATCGATTTAAGTTCACCCTTTTCATCTAGTAATTCCCCATATCTAACTGTTTGCTCCTTTTTATAAATTATAGGATAAGAAAAAGCTTCTATCGTCGAAGAGTTGAGAATTCTTATACTTTATTTAAGCAGATAAACAAAAAACATTGTTTTCTAGAAGTTTGCTTTAAAAAGACAATTTTACATTTTTATTATGCTTGAAAATGCAGACTGGTATCACAACGACATCTTGTAACAACAAAGCTAGCCTGTGATAGAAGACTATCCTTTTCAAGCAAGTAACACACTTTGTACATAATTAACATTGTACAAGTAATAGCTCTTGTAGCTGGAAGAAGCCTGTCCTTATCTGAATGTACAGATACCCGAAAACATATTTAATGATGAGACACAGGATTGCAAGTAGCATTTCTATTGGCTTTTTATCAATTTTAGCATCCAAGTCAGAAAAAAATGTGAGACTTCATTTACAAAGTGTTTGTGAGTGTTTCAATAGTTCTACAATCTGTCCAATAAAGAAGATATAACAGTCCTCAGATCTATGGGCCAAGCAACTCAATTTTTTTAAATAAAAGGATTTCCTCATCTTCAAAATGGATAGAATTAGAATTCTTATATTATTTTGGTGCTTTCGATTAAAACACTTACTCAAGACTTTCCATTTTTAATCAAGACCTGTTTAACTCCCTTCTTGGTCTGATGCATTAGCTTTGCTGCTTTTTTTTTCTTGCAAAGTTTTAAATGTTTGAAAATGTTTGTTTATCTGTGCAATAAACATAAAGCTCCTTCGGCTTCATATGGCATTTCTTTCAATCATCTTATCCTGTTGCTCCTTAATTACTTTCCCCTTTGTAAGCTCTTCCAATTACAATGCCGAGAACTATGTTGTAATGCTTTATCAAAGAAGAAAACCAGTGTATTCCAGAATACTTAGTTCGCTGTCATTAAATCCATGTTGGCTGTTTGTAATCACTCTGTTTTCCTTAAGTATTTCAATATTTTTTTTAAAAAAAATATGCCAATCAGCTCCCTGGGTGCATTTTAATTCTAAACAAAATTATTTTTCAGATGATCAATTTCTTTAACATGTACACCCAATCTAGAAGCTCCCCTCCCCCAAAAATATTGTGACTATGGGGTTTAGTTGCTTCTATTGGGCCCATTTATTTGGAGCAAGACACTTTTTTGTGTTTATCTACCATACTGTTTTTATGGAATCTGCTGTTTCTAAAATAAAAGCAGCCTAGCTATGTACAGAAAGATCTGGTTGTTCCTATCTTTCTCATATACGTTCTTTCTACTTCAAAGGTTTATTTAGCTCATTTATGAGGTTTATTTTATATTTATATTTTATTATGATTAAAGTAATGTTACGTTTTGGCAACTATGCATGGACCGGTAACCACTTTTCTAGATCTGATGCAGAAATATCCAGGTTCATGGAGACACAGAGTGAAGAGAGCATGCAAAAGGTACTTCTGGAAATCTGAATAAGAATGTAAGAGTTTAATATTGCATGGATTCATTCAGAAACACCCCCTCGCCCCCCCCCCTCCCAAACCTTCAATAAAGAAAGGAGGACAGTCCCTGCATGTAGGAATAGGGGTTAAGAAGTTGTATTCGGCCTCAAGTTTACATTCATAGAACTGTGGAAACTCGATGTGACTTTGGACTAGTTATTCTTTCTCTGCCCTCCTGAAGGAGAAGGAGTAGCAAAATCTTGGGACAGAGTTAAAAGAGGGAGCAGCCTTGAATCCCTATGTGTCCACAAGTGGATTAAGTTCACTTCCACCCTTGAATTCCATTGACCCTTAGCAAACCCTAAACAAGTGCTAACCATTAGTTGAAAAGATTCCTGTGCATAGGCAGTAATAGCAGTAAATCGGTTGAACTGGACTTTCACACGTGGACCTGGTCTTTTGAGCCTGACACCCTCCCACTTCGTGCAGCATTGCTGTTGTGGGAATACAATGATTCTCTTGGAAGTTGCCTTAAGCACTAACAAGAAATATGGAGTACAGATTGAACAAATACCTGCATACAGGGGAAATGTCCTCCACGCAGGCAAGAGTGAGTTAGAAAAATGTAGGGAAATAATGGATACAGGGTAAATTCTGCCACCTCATCATAGGGTTATCATCATATAGGTAGTCCTTGACTTACAACAGTTCATTTAGTGACCGTTCAAAGTTACAACAGAAGTGAAAAAAAGTGACTTGTGACTATCTTTCACACTTATGACCATTGCAGCATCCCCCAGGATTGCCTGATCAAAATTTGGGCACTTGGCAACTGACTCATATTTATGACGGTTGCAGTGGTCCTAGGGTCACATGATCCCCTTTTGCAACCTTCTGACAAGCTAAGTCAATGGGGAAGCCAGACTGACTTAATAACCATGTTAACAACTGCAGTGATTCACTTTAAACAGCTGTGGCAAGAAATGTCATAAAATGGGCCATAAAACTCACTTAGCAAACATTTCACTTAGCAACATAAATTTTGGGCCCAGTTATGGTCCTAAGTCGAGGGCTACCTGTAAGTTATGCTTTGGAAAAAAAGAAAAGCCAAATGGATGTTTAATTTGCTCCCTGAGTTGGCCACCTGCCTCTTTATTGTTCTTTTCTTTCTCTTGAGATAAGCAATATGCTTACAATACTCTCATCCCTTCCTCAAAAGCCACTTTGGGATCCCGTCAATTGTTTGAAGGTCCTTCAAAGGTTGTAATAATTCAGTTTTTAATTAATGTAAAATGATAAGTACTTTGGTTTTTATTAATGGCATGTCTTCCCTTTCTTGGATCCTATCATATTGGGTGTGGTATCAGTACAGAATATTTTTGTTTTCAAACATACGTTGCTGTGGTTTATGGAGTGGGGAAGCAATGTTGCATGGCACCTGTGACAAGGAGGGGAAAGACTTATTGAAATAACATTGCAATCTGAAAATGTTTCCTTCATTTTCACAAAAACTGTAATTTTATTCTTGTCCCTAGGGTAATTTTCCCCTTCCTACCAAATCCCTTTAAGAAAAGTAGCAGGGAAATTAAATTAAATTAAATGGAAGCATGCCAAGATGCAGAAAAGCAGATAATATTGGCTGTGATGGCTTTGATAGACTAGGTTTGAATAGTGACAACTATGTATTTAACAGTTTTCTTTTTTTAAAAAAAAATCTGCATTTAACTTGGGCATAATTACATAAATAATTATGATCTTTCACAGCTGAAATGCCATTTTGGCTTTTGAAACTAATCATCTAACACACACACACACACACACACACACACACACACCAGCAGACACAAAACAATCCAAATCAAAAGTTGGTAGTTTCTGTTCCACAATAATTGTTCCCAATGCTTTCTTTTCAACAAGCCAGAATCCAGTGGTGGGATTCAGCCAGTTCGCACCACTTTGGGAGAACCAGTTGTTAACTTTCTAAGCAGTTGTTAAATTATTTGAATCCCACCACTGCCATAATCCAATATATATTTTATAAAATTTAATCCATAGTGCTTGTGGGCTACCAGCTAAACAAGTCATTTTAAGCATTTTACATATAATGCTTATAGTCAGCGTTACATATGAAGAACCAATAAAGGTGCAAGAGTACTTCTGACCAATTGTTTCTACCCATACCATTAAATCTGGCAGAAGAGGCATATCATGGGCCTCATCGTTATTTAAGGAATGTCATCTGGAAAGACCCAAAAAGACAGCCTGTCTGCCCGTCGTTGTGCTTGCCCTGTGGAACATCATTCCACCCCTGAGACCAGATTGGCCCCCATCTTGGCTGTATCTGTCATTGAGAGCCTGTGCAATGGTTATGTTAATTGTAGTTTGATTTTTTTTTTATTTTGCTGCCAGTTATGTATTTTATTTTAGTAGTCAGTTGTGTTTTTAATTGTTGTTAACTATACAGAATAACTATGGATAGATGGGCAGCCATCTAAGTGAATTAAATTCACCAAAGTAAAACCTTCATTTAACAAATCATCCAAAGTCGTCTAGTAATCCTGAATGTTTGTTAAATCTAAGATAAATTATTTGCTCTAATTTATTTGTATAACAAATGAAGCAAATTATACCACACCATGGTATAATGTAGAATGATGACATTCTACAAATGGCGGGAATTGGATCATTTGCCCCAATTAGTGTCCTTTGGGGAGTTAAAAAGTAGTGCTTTCAGCCTTGTGGTTTGGGTGGATTGATTTTACTCAGCTTGGCAAGAAATAAATCAAAAGTTCCTCCGATTCCTTTACCGATACTGAATTATTCATGGGTTGGATCCACACTGGCCTTCCATAAATAAAAGGTCTTTTATACGTATCAAATTATTTGGGTCCAGTCTACATTATATTGAAAGAAAACCACGGCAAAAGTCAATGGCGGGACTTTGAAGGTTTACTCAACCGCACCTAATGAGGTGATTGTTCCAACTCTTTGGATTCATAGTTTATCTTCTTTCAACAAAAAACTATCCATGCACCTGTGTCTTTGGAGATACTCCACAGAATGCAGGGATATCCATGCATCTCTTGTAAGCAAGTTTTAGTAATAACACACAATGTATCTGCTATTTTCCTGGAAATGGGTTGGGAAATAACCGTTTTTCTCTTTTCTCTGACTTGTAAATATTAGTATTGTTTTTATTTTAGGATTTAAGCAACATTGCAGGAGCTAAGCAGAATCTTGAGGAGGAGATCAGAAGCCTCCAAGACCGACTGGCAGCCAGCCAACGGGCTTGGGAAGAATTGGGCCAACTAAAAGTCCATTGCAATGAAAAAGAAGCGGAATTGAGAACTAGTCTAGAGCAGGCCAGGGAAGAAAAAAAGCTGCACAATGAATTCAAAGATCAAATCGTGACTTTACTGGGGAGTAATCCCATTGTAGCGACTCCCTCCAAGGAAGACATTGTGGAAAAAATCCGAGAGTTGTGCCACAGAGAGGAGAGCAAAAAAAGAGTATGTTAATTTGTCTTATTTTTCTTCAGTGTGCTTAATTTATTCCTGCGTATGGATTTTATATTAGTTCACTTCAGAATATTTTTTAAAATTAATTCATGAGTTGACAGGATTATCTCTTTGTAAGTGGTGATAGAATGAACTTTGATACAATTGTTCTAAACTGACAAGGCACACCGTTGTTTTATTTTGATGTAATAGTTTATATAGCAGTTGCTTGGTATCTAATGATTGTAGGAAAAAAACACACAAAAAGCAGAGCCCCTTAAAGAAAAGCACTTTGTTAAATTGCAATCTATTAAAAGGACCACATAGTGACATTTATTTATTTATTTTACATTATATCCTGCTCACTTTGAACCAACTCTAAGCAGAATAAAATCTAAGAGAGTAAAATGGGGGGGGGGGGGAGAATTCCTAAACCCATACCTATAATCTTATACTTAAAATAAATACAAAGGGCAATGAAAAGGCAATGGTATGTTATGTATTATATACTGTTCAGTCCCGGTAACTAATAGCTACCGCCTTCTCATCTCTCTCTCTCTCTCTCTCTCTCTCTCTCTCTCTCTCTATCACACACACACACACACACACACGTATCAGTGGTGGGATTCAAATTTTTTTACTACCGGTTCTGTGGGCGTTGCTTGGTGGGTATGGCAGGAGAAGGATACTGAACTACTCAAAATTTCTGCTACATGTTCTCCAGAACTGGTCAGAACCTGCTGAATGCCACCTCTGATATGTATGTATGTATGTAATTTGGTTAGTGTGTGCAAGGAGAGGAATATATGTAGATAGATAGATAGATAGATAGATAGATAGATAGATAGATAGATAGATGTTTGTGTGTGTGTGTGTGTGTGTGTGTGTATGTTTCTTAAGTTTTCGTGGGTACTTATATGTATGGTATTCAGCTTTGTTCGGGTATTTTCCCACGTCATTGTAGTTGTTCTTTTAAAGTTGTAGCAACGTTTTGGCAGAATCTTATCTGCCATCATCAGGCTTCTGTATTGTGTCCGTCTGGACACAATACACAATCCTGACAGACGGACACAATACAGAAGCCTGATGATGGCAGATGAGATTGTGCCGAAACGTTGCTACAACTTTAAAAGCACAACTACAATGACGTGGGAAAATACCCGAACAAAGCTGAATACCATATGTATGTATGTATATATTCTCCACACTAACCAAATTACATCATTCCAACACTCAGACGTGTGCAAATGCAAATGTGTGCAACATTTTCTTTCCTCCTTCGCTTTCAACAAAAAGAGTAAAAATAAAATATGATAGATAAAAATATGAGGTAGAGAAGGAAAGAAAAAGGGTTAAAGAGAATAAAGCTCTTTGGCGTATAATAAACAGCTTTAATCGAGGATAGCCACATGTGCTGGGGCTACAACTCCAAAGGCCACTATGGTCAGATCATTCTGCTTTTAACATTAATGTTCTATGAGTAAGTAGCAACGGCAAACAACAGGTCTGATTTAAATATCTCTTGCGAGATAATAAATCCAACTCCACATTTGTTGACACAGTCTTTTTATGAATATTCATTTTCTTGAATTATATTTCTTTGCAGAAATATAATAGTACAGGTGGCCCTCAATTTACAACAGTTCATTTTGAAGTTACAACAGCCCTGAAAAAAGTGACTTATGACCATTGCAGCATCCTCATGGTCACGTGATCAAAATTCAAATGCTTGGCAAATGGCTCATATTTATGATGGATGCCGTGTCATGTGATCACCTTTTGCAACCACCTGATAAGCAAAGTCAATGGGGAAATCCAGATTCACGTAACAACTGTGTTACTAACTTAACAACTGCAGTGATTCACTTCACAACAACTTAACAACTGTTACAAGAACAATCATAAAATGGGGGTGAGATTCACTTAATAAATGTCTCACTTAGCAACAGAAAGTTTGGACTCTTGTGATCGTAAGTCAAGGAGTGTTGCAAGATGCCTTAAATGCCCCTGTATACAATCTAGTCTCCTCTGCATTGAGTGTTCACTACGTCACAGATCCAGTAGAGGTTGCTCATGGACACTTTTTAAATTTCTCGGTTTTCTGTATGATGACCTAATTGTAGTTTAAGTAACTTTGGATAATCCAAATGGGCTATAAAATGCTTTAAAAAAAAAAGTCCTTAACGAGCACATTTCCAATTGAACAATCCAAACTTGTGGTCAGGAAACTTAGTGTAGCTATTAGTGCAGTAAAAAGGCCCACTAAACTTTCAGGATATAAAGTTGAGTGCTTGATGTTTAGTAAACATTTGTGTCTGTGATTTATTGCAATGAGCTGGCTCAATCGTCTATGCTGCAATACCACAGCTATTTCCTGAATAGTCCTGATAATACACAACTGCAGAGAAATACACATGTATGGTTGGGAGAGAGGGAGAGGGAGAGAGAGAGAGAGAGAGAGGGAGGGAGAGAGAGGGAGAGAGAGGCAAAATACTTTACCCCAACCTGTTTCTGGCTATCTGTCTCGGGACTCTTAATTCCCACAATTCCCAACCAGAATCCTGGAAGTTACAGTCCAAGCACATATGGACAGGATCAGGGGAAAGGGGAAAACATTGTAAAAGCTTTCAGCGTTCTCTCTTCATTTCTGACATTTTTATGTCACTACTCTCCAAGTGGCTTTAAGCAGCCTGCAGCAGAAAGGTGAAAAATAACCGTACCAAATATCCTCATTACGCTGCAGTTTGTGGCAAAGAGTTCTGTTAGGATTGCAAAGGATGGTAAAACTTACGGAACCTTTCAAATTCAGCAAGCTGCTCCTGTAATCCCTCTACAGTGTAGAGTGTCTGCACTGATAACATGACACTTGACATCATGATATAGAAACAGCAGAACACATTGAGATGACCTCCCCATGGGAAGAAGAATGGATGCCTTGGTTACAACGGATTTGGGGCTTCATTAGTGAAAGTAGAGCACATCGCTAGGATTGACAATGGGGTTATTTGTCTGGGTCTATAAGGAGACGCTGGCGCAAAGTGCTTCACCTGAACCTCAATACATTTAAACCAGAAATGTTTAAGAGTACTGTAACAGGCAAGAGGAAATTGCAGTTTTTCATAATAATGAAGGGTAGGAGGGGAAAAAAAGTCAAACACATTTGTTGAAAATCTCTGACGCATTCCTAGCATAGAAAAGATTTCAAAATATGAATGCCCTATTTACCTTGCTCCGGAATGATGTCCACTTTAGTTCACTTTAGCCTTTGGAGAGCTTGAATTTGAAGCTCAGGAGCTCAGACTGCTATACAACAGCAGAAGGTGCTTAAGCGTAGTCTGCTATTATTCCTAAGGAGGAAAGAACATTATGTTCTACATGGTTAGTTTGGATGTGTTCACAAATTTACTAAGCTCTGGCTAGAACTGGTTTACCAAGTCTAGAAATGCATGCAGTAAAACCGTGTATGGAATTTTTAATATACAGAAACATCCATATGATGTGTGTGTAGACACACACACACACACACCACATACATGTATATCATTGTGCATACAAATTATTGTTATTAAATTATTTCATATATCTGGGTATGCTTCAGCATCTTGCAGGACTTATTTTTGTTGGTTGTTTGCAAAAGGAGAGTACAATCTGATGTTTGTGCTATAGGTAATCATTTCTTTCCCTTGGGCAATGTCTTAAATTATTTGTACTTCACTTTGTTTGGTCAGAACTAACTTACAATGAGCCACCTGTTTCCAGTTCCTTTCAATCTTATTCCTGAAGAAATGTTATGGCGCACAGTGTACTCAGAGTTAAATGAAAACTTGCATGGATTGTTCCTTTGCTTGGACTATTAGCCTTGCTGAACATCCGGGAAATGAGTATCTTTGTTGAAAACAAGTTCTTTTTTTATCTCAAGCTAAAGAATCATTGCAGTTTTAATAGCTATAAACATATTGCAGGGTATCTGAAGTCCTTTTAGTATGCTTTCAGTTGTGTTGGGAGAATATGCATCTTGGTAGAGAATTGGCAGGGTTTTCTCTTCTCTCTCCCTTGCGCATTTTTTTTTAAACTGAGAACAAATGGCCTTGTTCATCTTTTGGGTCTGGAATTCCACAGATGGTTCCATCTGTGTTGGCAGGGAAGAATCGGAGCTCTCACCTAATGCATCTGGAGGAACCAGGGTTTAGAAGCTGGTTAATGTTGTGCCTAAAGTTGGCTGGTGCTCTTAGCTGCAGATACAGATTAACAGACTTGGAAGGGACCTTGTAGGTCATCTAGTCCAGCCTAGCCCAAGCAGACGCTACACCATTTCTGACAGATGGCAGCCCAATCTCTTCCTGAAAGCTTCCAGTGATGGCACTCCCACAACTTTCGAGGGCAAGCTGTTCCATTGGTTGATTGCGCTCACTGTCAGAAAAATTCTCCTTATTTCCAGGTTGAATCTCTCTTTGTTCACTTTCCATCCAGTTCTTCTATTCACTTATTCAGTTGCTTGTCTGAATTGCCGTTCATACATTTTGTAACATCTCCATAAAACCATTTTTCTTGGGGTCTCATCTTGGGTAACATTATCTATCTGTGTTTGAGATACTGTAATTTGAAATGCTGACGCTTTTAGTGGGAAAGTGAACACCGCATGCATAAATGCTGGCAAAAATGAGGCCAGCCTATAGACCGAAGGATTTCATTTGCTCGTCAGGGTAACTCTTTAACAGCTTTCAAGGGGGTGGCAGACTGAATATGAACAACAACAACAAAAAGCTATAAAGTCCTGCAGAGAAATATAATTAATTTCGAACAATGTTATGAATAGAATCCAATAATTTTCATTTTATGCATTTGGAGATTTATGGAAGGTTCATACAAGTAATAAAGCATACTTAAAGACAGATGTTATTGTTTCTATGGTTTTATGTAATGGGATTTATTCTGTTTTTGGCTATTACTACAGTAGATTAGGTTTTATTTATTACTGTCCGTTGGCTTAAAATCCATGGCATCACAAGCATGTCAACCTTAATTTTAAAATGTTTTACTACATTTCAACTGATTGAGATTCAACCCTACCTAGCTATAGAAACAGTGGTGGTATTCCAATTTTTTACTACCAGTTCTGTGGGTGTGGCTTGGTGGGCATGGTGCGGCTTGGTGGGTGTGGCATGACTTGGTGGGCATGGCTTGATGGGTGTGGCAGGGGAATAGCTTGGTGAGTGTGGCAGGGGAAGGATACTGTAAAATCTCCATTCCCACCCCACTCTACTAACTGCTTTCCAGCTCCGTTCTCCTTTGCAGGGCAACAAAAGAAGACCCAACTGATCAGCTGGGACTTGGGAGGCAGTGAAGAGATGGGGGTGGGGCCAACCACAGGTGGTATTTACCACTTCTCCAAACTACTCAAAATCTCCTCTACCAGTTTTCCAGAACCTGTCAGAACTGGCTGAATACCACCTCTGTATAGAAAGTAAATGTTTGCCTTATATCTTAGCAGGTATCAAGCCAATTTATTTAATAGACCACAGCCTTGATTCTGGGCGTGGATATAGATCAGAATATGGTCTTACTGACTTCTAACAAAATAACTTTGAAGGAAAACTCTAGGAGACCTATAATGTGCAGGTCTTTATTCCAGGTTCCTATAGATGGTAGACCTTGGAATCATCTCTCACCTTGACTTGTGTCCCAGTTTACTGCCCATCATCTTATCATTCATTCATCCATTTAGGAAACCTCAATATTTTTATATGCAGTGTCTTTTGAAATAATTTTAAAAACAGATTTTGCATGCTCATATGCAGAAAGGGATGGTATTTATCCATAGTCTAACTATGGCAATGGGGAAAAAAGTGTTTTCCAATCTTTATTCCTCCTGCAGGCTGCATCTGCCATTTGGAGCAAATACTTCCAAATACTGTATATGTTGCATGGACAGATAGGGTATCAGCAAGGGTTTTATGTGAATCTTATAGAATTTTCAAGAATTAAATGAAAGCATGGGATATTACAAGGGGAGCACTGTACATCAAAAACTATCATTGCATTAATTTCTCACTTTTCCATAACCTGATGTATTTATAATAGAATATATAATGCTCTGAGAGCCAGTTTGGTGTACTGGTTAGGGCATCAGGTTTGAAAACAGGAGATTGTGAGTTCTAGCCCCTCCTTAGGAACAAAGCCAGTTGGGCCAGTCACTTTCTCTCAGCCCAAGGAAAGAAGCAATGGAAAACCTTCCCAAAACTGGCCAAGAAAAGCATTACTGTAACAGTAGTAATCTGTTTATAGCATTATTTATCAATAAACTTTAAGTGAGTATGTACTGACTTGTTTTCATTAGAATATTTTTTTGAATTTACAAGGGGCATATTAATATAATGTCTGTGTCACAAGTTGCTCTAATTTTGATTTGTTTGTGATTGGCTTAGCATATTGTGTGACTCTAACTTTTACAATTTATAGCTTTCTGTGCTATATAAATTCAAACAAAGGAGGTTTTTTTTTTTCAACTGACAAATTGTAGCTTAGTGAGTTTTGTGAATTCAGCCCCAGTCCATATATGCTACCCTATGGTAATTAGATCGTCCTTCTGATTAAGTGTTCATGTTTTTCCTTTTTGTTGAGTAGAAAGTGATTGTTTTATTGCCCTTCTGCAATTGGTGATCTTCTGGTACCAGAGATTGGTGTCATACTCAGTCTCTGATTTGAGTTTACTTTTGTTTCCCAGATGGTATCCCAGCTTGAAGCTCAAGTAAGCCAACTTACCGAGACTCTGGAGACTCAGACAATGCTGCATCAGGAGGCCTTGCAAAGAGCTAAAAAATCAGAAAATAAATCAGAAATGCTTCAGGATCAGTTGAGGCGTCTAGAAGGAGAGCTGGTGTCTGGAGATGTGATGCGAGATGCTTGGAAACTGGAGAAGCAACAAGTAATATCTTATGTTTATAGGAAGGGTATAAGATGGGGTGTCAAACTCATGGCATCATGGCGGCATCACATGATATATCAGGACTTTTTCACCCTTCACTAAACTAGACGTGGGCGTGGCCAGCACGTGACGCATCCGGCCCTTGAGCCGGTAGTTTGACAGTATAAGGCAAGATAGAGAAAGCTTAATTTAATGATATAGTCCTGATTTTATCAAAAGTATGGTGTGATAGGTACAGTCATATTCACATAAGTAAACTTTGTTGGTTAAATCACTTTTCAGTATGGTCAGGGTGGTGATTTGAACATAAAACATATACATAAACATTCAGGATTCTTGGAGTGTATTAAAAAGTACTAGAAGAGTGAGGTCTTAGGGGGTGGGGTGAGCATCAATTCCTGAAAATATCTAAGGAAATGAATTGGTGTTTTGGATCTTGTAGAGGTAAGTTACTAAAATATCTTTTAATGCCAGTTCTAGACCCTAAGAGGCAATCTGTTTTGGGGTTAGTATTCCAAGTAAATTTTCCTGGAAGTTGCCAGTACTATAGAGAACATAGCAGGGGAACATAATATATTTTAAATGAAAATAAAATGTTACTGAGAAATCAGCTCTTTACCAGATAGAGAAGAATAAAATCAAAACTAGCTCTTACTCAGCTAATTATATTATTGAAGTTTACAGACATTCCATAGGTTTCATAGGACCCTTGCTATAAAATGTTTGTTCAATTAGGGTTTTTAAAGAAACTTTTTACTTTACTTACCCTTATCAATAAGCACTTATTTTCCTAACTTCAGCATATAAACCTGACCAGGGGGCTTCACAAATTTTAGCAAAGGGTTCTCTGCCCAGTTACTGGGTGGGCGTGGCCATGGCAGGAGGCCTTCTGCACCATGGCGGCGGCGAGGCGGGGGGATTACCCTCCCTGGGCTCTGGAGTCTTTCTTCGAGCCTCTAGGAGGGTGGAAACAGCCTCCCTGGTCTCTGGAGGCTCTCTGGAAGCCGGAAATGAGCCTGTTTCTGGCCTTCTTGAACTTCTGGGAGGCCCATTTTTTGCCATCCCTGAGCCTCCATGCACGGCCTGCACTTACCTGTATCCAAAATGGACCGCGTGGGGAGGGGTGGCTGGGGCCAGCCAGGAGTGGGATTTGGGCAGGGGTGGGATTCTACCAGTTGGCACCTATTCACTAGAACCGGTTGTTAACAGTCTAAGCAGTTCGGAGAACCAGTTGTTAGAAGGAATTACTGGCCTAATCCTGTAAGGAAGGCAGGAAGGAAACATTCTGGTGTTGCTTACAGAAACTGCCTCTCTGTTAACCCTTATTACATTCTTGGCAGGACTAGACTTCCTGTCTCAGGAACTTCTCTGGAGTTTTTTTTTCCCTTCCTTTGCTGGTACTTTGCTTGTGTGGAATGACCATTCAAAGTTACAATGGCACTGGAAAAAGTGACATATGACCATTTTTCACACTTACCGCACACTTGCCGCATCCCCACAGTCATGAGAGGCCAGGCGAGGAGATGTGTGCCTCAATGTGAGTGATGTTGAGTTGGCCATGTCCACCCAGTCACATGACCACCAAGCCACATCCACCCAGTCACATGACCACCAAGCCACGCCCACCAATTAAGCCATGCCCACAGAACTGGTTGTTAAAAAATTTGAATCCCACCCCTGGATTTGGGGGTTCTCCGAACTGCACAGAATCTTAGCTAGGGGCTCTCCCGAACCCCTGCGAACCCCCAGCAGTCCATTCCTGAATCTGACTCCACATTTGAGTATGTCAACATTTCCTTGATTCTGTTTTCTGAAATTTTCTTCTTTAGCTTTACAGTGATCACATAATGATCACAGTGACACTGCTTTGTGGCCAGTTTGGATCTTCTAAGTCATTGGAGGCAAATAAAGCCCACTGAAAGGGAAGCGATTGTTTCATTGCTCATTCTGTTGAACGATCCTTATTGGGGTGATAAAAATGTATGGATAAATGAAAAAAAATCTAGCAAAAAAAAGCTTGGCATAGTTTGCCTCTTTTGTGTCAAACCCTATTATTTCTGTATTTGAGTGCCATCTTAATGGAGCACAGCAAAGGCAGATTTTTCTGTCCTTCTCACAGAAGAGCACTGTGGTAGGCTAGGTAGAAATGTCCCTGTTCTGAATGCACTGTCCAAACTTGTCTGTAATAAAGTTTCATGATGTAGCTCTTGGTACAATCATTACTCTCAGCCATGAGAGAAAGACTTGGAACATTCATCTCTCCAGTAGGTACTGACTCAGTGAAAAATCTCTATGGGAAGCTCGGTATCTTATCCCCTTCCTAGGATATCACAGTGCCAGCAAGAGACAGGATAGCTCTAATAATTGCCTCAAACCATTTTCTTCCATACAAATGTAGATGCTATGGATCAGAGGAAGCTTAAAGGTTAGAAAAACGTGTACACTTTGCAAACTGTATGCCAGGCTGTGCATGCATAACTCTAGGAAGAGTTATTTGTTTCATGTCCTTTAGAAAACATTAGTACCTTTATTATTTTCCATTTGTTTGCTAAGTGAGAATGGAAGAACTCCAGAGATACAGCCATTGTACCATTTAGAACACAAGAGTTTTGTGGTATCTTAAACATTTTTTTAAAAAAATGTACCTCTTTCATCAAGTTTAGTTCTTGGTGACTTCTTGGAGATGTCCATTCAGTTTTCCGTTTTGTCATTTTATTGTAACGTTCAGAGTTAAATAACCATAGAATGAATGCCTTAACAGCCCATAAAGATCCCCAGCCAACATAAATAGTTGGGCTGCCACCCCATGACTGCATGTAGTGCAGATTAGCTTTATGACTGGTTGTGATATTCAACAGTCACATGACCACACATCATACTGGGCTTTTGCTGGTTTCCAGCATTATTTGCCAGTTTTCAACAAAAATGCTCAAGTGAAGATAACTTTCAGGAAAGGGAGAGGGCCACTCTGCCCCTCAACCTCCCTATATGTTTTTTTTTAATGTGGACCCAAATCAGTGGGCTCCAAAACACAAAGAGCCAATCCAACAACACAGGTCCTAGACAACACCCATACAAGCACACAGGCTGGTACTCATAGAACTGACTAACTGCTCTCTGTTCTACGCTTCCCCACTGCTTCTACACCTTCAGCTACTGTTCCTCCAACTACTACTCCTTATAGTAATACTTCAGTACCAGCTGCCTCCCTGCTTAGCTTTTATAGCCAACAGTTGCTATTCTGGCTAGAAGAGGCCTTAAATGGACAGAGAAACAGCAGCACAGGTGCTGGCCATTTTTAAGGCAAAATGTTCTCTCAAAGTCCCTATACAGTATGCAGGCTACATGGTGCTGTCCTGGAAGTGAACACCATTTTGAAGTGGCCACATTATGATCACTCATTGTTTTCATTGTGGTCACTTCCAAAATGGTGCCCACTTCCAGGATAGCACTATGGGGCCTCCATGTTGGCATACTGTGCAATGGAATGGCTGCAAAGGAAATCTATGGAAAATATAAGTGACCGAGCTATGATGAGAGTGAGGATGTGGGGTAGGACCCAGTGGAGTGAGAAGCAGGAGTAAGGTCTACGGGGACCCAGAGGGTGGGATGAGGGAAAGATAGGCCACATTACTGCAGTTGGACATAAGGAAAGGTGGGTTGCCAAGCAACTAAATTTTGTTCATGTGACCATGTGGGCATTGCAGCGGTTATAACTCTGAGCAGGATTGTAAGTCCATTCATTCAGTACCCTTTAATTTCAAACGGTTTCTCAATATATGGTCACAAGTCAAGATCCACCTGTTTACTTCCTTAATCCTTAAAGATGTTGACAGCATCAAAATGCGAACAATACAACAATATACAAAAAACAATATCACCTAAATAGTTAAAAGACAAATGCCAAATAGTCTTCCATTCTGACCAGTTTCTGGAAAGCTCAAAGGCTTAACCTTGGAGGGAAGCTATTCCACAGTTTCCCTGAGGAAGACAATTTTTTGGTCTCAGCCCTTCTCTCCCTACTTCAGGAAAGTGAAACATCACTAGCAGATCCTCTTGAGGTATATTTACTGGATGGTGGGTTCTGATGGGAGAAAGTTGTTTGAAGATACTGGGAGCTTAGCAAGAAAGGACTTTATGTGCTACATTGAACACTTTGAGTTGTACCTAGAAATGTACTGGAAGCTAAAGGAAGGCCTGTTGTGACTTTTAGGAGGTGACACAAATTTGGAAAACTTGTGATATCTGTATTCAGAACTTTAGAAAAATGAAAACCCTTGCAACATGGCATAGCTTGCATGCTGTACTTAATGCAGATTAAATATTGGCATTCTCTGGTGGGCTGCCTGCCCTAGTTTTATTAGTGGGTGTTCTCTTTTAAGACCTGAAGACGTGGACAATCATGAGACAGAATGAGCATGGAAAGAAAAGAGAACCTTTTGGGGTCCATCCTATTGTAATGAAAAAGAATAAAGAAGACTTCCATGTGTTGGTTTAGTCCTGGCCATAAAAGTCTTTCAGAAAGCATGAATTAATTAAAATATTTTTCACATGTTAGATTAAATGCAAGCCCTCTGAGCCATATTAGATGATTTGCAAATGTCTGAAAATATATGCCTTTAATAGTTGCATGGCAAGAAAACATGAAGCAATAAAAATGTAACATTTTTATTGCATTAATAAATCTTTATTTCTGTTAAAGCAGTTGTAAGAGGCTAAGAATGCAAGCTTTGTTCTGAGCAAACTGGATGCCTTTCTCCTCATATTTTCTTTCCAAAGTATCTTAAGTTTCTGGATCAGCTCTCTGAAAAGATGAACCTGGACAGAATAGCAGTGGAGGTTGGATTTGACATGAGGTTGGATGCAGTGCTGGCTCGCGCAGAGCAGTTGATCAAGTTGGAAAGAGATACATTGACTGACAATAAGATCATGGTCCGAAACCTACAGAGGAAGGTAGGAAAAATATCTAAACAACAGAGCTATTAATGCTTGGTTCATTTTTACAGCATTGTATTACCAAACTAGGGCTGGAATAGTACTCATTTAAGTCTCACTCAAATCCCATCAAAGTGAAGAGAGAGAAGTAGGCTCCACATTTCCCTGAACGGAGCATATAAATCAATGAATATTTACTAACACAGGTACATGTTTTTTTAAAAAAAAAAAATTCAACATGTAGGTAAAAACTCAGAAAGAGCAACTTGAGAACAAAGAATTGCATGTGAAACTTTTGCGTCAGAAGATCGTCCATCTGGAAGAAGAGAAGCAAGTGCGCACAGCCCTGGCAGTAGAAAGGGATGAGGCCAACCTCACACTCAGAAAGTTACAAAAGAAAACAGACAGATTGCAGAATGAACTTTCTTTGGCGAGAGAAACAAACACAGATCTGAAAGTTAAACTTGCGGACACGAATGAACTGAAGGTGGGTAATAAAGCTAATAGCGTGATTCAAGCCATATTTAGAGGGGTATGAATAAAAGATTTGCGTTTAACTTCATAATAACTATGCCTAACCTGTCCATCACAATTGCTTCACAGTAGAAAGCTATTTTGAAATGATTAGCAATGTGCCTTCTTCAAGAACCTGACAATTAGGAGGAGATAGCCCATCCCTGACACAACTTCAAATATGTGTAGCATTCTTCCTGCAAGTGAGCCTTATTTGGGTAGATGAGGCTCAGGGAAAACTGAAATACTTCTTGGCATCTTATATGATGTTTCCCTTATATCACTTCCATGTTGTTGTTGTTGTTTTTTGAATTTGTGTTCAGATCAAAGCGCTGGAGCAAGACAAAACCATAGAAGAACTAAGCAAATCTCAAGAGAAACTGGAAAAGATGAAGACAAAAGTTGAGAAGCAATTAACCTGTGTCCAGTCTGAGCTACATGTTAGAGAGCGTGAAGCAAAGGAAAATAAAGAAAAGGCTAAACACTTGTTGGAGTCCGTGACTACAGAAGCAACAGCACTTAAATCAACTCTTGAAGAAGTCATGAAAAGAGAGAAACAGGTGTGTGCCAAGATCACCAATAAGGGCTATGTGTTATTTGTCACCTTTATCCATTCATCAATCTAGATATTTGCTCACTGACAGGACAGGTAACAGTCTATTAAAAGGAATCATAAATAATCTAGGATAGTCAAAACAACACCTTGCATTCAGGGTGAATCATATACCACACAAGCATATCCCTGATGATAAGCTCACCAATTATCTTGAACCAGCTCTTTGATGCCCTACAGAAGACTGACAGGTTCGGGCCACCTGAATCTCGGTGGGTTAACTGTTCCATAGGGCAAGGCCTATTTAACAGAAAGGATTCAGAACATGCCCACTCTGTTGGAGAAAGGCAGAAATAATTGGAGACATCACTTGAGAATTTCAAGAAGAGATTGGACTGCCATTTGTCAGAAATGGTATAGAGTCTCCCGCTTGGGCGGGGGGTTGAACTAGATGACTTACAAGGTCCCTTCCAACTCTGATTATCTGTTATCAGAGTTAGGTAATCCTTGCAAATAACATGGCTCTATGCAATGAAGGGCTTTTGGGGGTAATAGCTAACGTCTTGACTTGGACCCAAAAATCAACGGGGCCCAATGCAGCTCACAAATACATCATAGTAGCTGGTGTTACTGTGCCATATACGTTCATAACCATTCAGAGCATGGCATTGCGCACCGCCTGTAAGCTCCACATAGAGCACATTGTAATAATTCTGATAGAAGGTGTGCCAACTTGGGTTTTGAAGCAATTTTATAAGTTCTCTTTCAATTGAAAAGAGCAAGGAAGAGGATATAGGCAGTAAGGAGTAAGAGCTCATCTACACATGTATGCTAGTGTGTGGTGCCAGTTACCTGGGGAACAAGTAAAGCTGTATGTACAGTTGCCTGGACAAGATTATGAATCATTGCACTACCAAAAACATTAGTGCAACCCATAGGATTCATTAGCATGCCAGAAGCTTAAAGAAATTGGCAGCGTAACCATTATGGTCACTAGACAGTTTTGTAGAGCTTCATGGGACTCTCCCATTAAAAGGTACCATAGAGCGATGTGACTGGAATATCACCTACAGGTTTCTGAGCATGTTTCAAGAGGTTTAATTAAGACACAGCAATAAAAAGTTGCAGTGATTGTACCCTATGATTGTCATTAAGTGTTGTACGTTATGATTCTTGATTCTTAACGAATGTATCTTTTCTTTTAAGTATACTGAGAGTATTTGCACCAAGACAAATTCCTTGTATGTCCAATCACACTTGGCCAATAAAGAATTCTATTCTATTCTATTCTATTCTATTCTATTCTATTCTATTCTATTCTATTCTATTCTATTCTATTCTACTCTACTCTACTCTACTCTACTCTACTCTACTCTGTTCCAATGGCCTTTTCCACTACTGATTATTGACCAAGTCACAGCTGCAATTATTCTGGGACAGCTTTGTTCTATGGCAGTGATGGAGAACCTTTCCATCCTCCCGTGCCAAAAGTGTGCGTGCGCACATGCACCTGTGCGCACGCATGCCAGCACCTATAAGGCAATGCACGTGGGGCCCCCATGCCCCCTGCACATTCGCACAAGAGTCCCTGTACGTGCCATATGTTTCTGTGCATGCATGTGTGACCCCCTATGCACACCATGCATTTCTGTGCATGAGCACGCGTCTCCTGTACGCGCCATGCCCCCCACACATGCGTGGCAGCTACGTGATGATCAGCTGGCGGGCGGGTGGCGCGCGTGCCTGCGCAGTAGACCTCCTCTGGGGTGACGGCTCGCATGCCAACAGAGATGGCTTTGCGTGCCACTTCTGGCACGCGTGCCATAGGTTCGTCATAGGTTGCCATGGTTGTATGGGGTCAGCTGTGTTTTATTGTTTGGAGACTTGTGCAAGTATGAATTATTTAGAAGTTATTTGGCAAAGAGTCCTCTTTGCATATTTCTCTCTAACTCTGTTAAATGGTCTCAAGAGCAGGGGTGGGATTCTACCAGTTGGCACCTATTCGCTAGAACCGGTTGTTAACATTCTAAGCAATGTGGAGAACCGGTTGTTAGAAGAAATTACTGGCCTAATCCTGTAAGGAAGGCAGGAAGGAAACATTCTGGTGTTGCTTACAGAAACTGCCTCTCCGTTAACCCTTATTACATTCTTGGCAGGACTAGACTTCCTGTCTCAGGAACTTCTCTGGAGTTTTTTTCCCTTCCTTTGCTGGTATTTTGCTTGTGTGGAGTGACCATTCAAAGTGACAATGGCACTGAAAAAAGTGACTTATGACCGTTTTTCACACTTGTAACTATTGCAGCATCCCCACAGTCATGAGAGGCCAGGTGAGGAGAAGCGTGCCTCAATGTGAGTGATGTTGAGTTGGCCATGCCCAGCCAGTCACATGACCACCAAGCCATGACCACCAACTAAGCCACGCCCACAGAACTGGTTGTTAAGAATTTTTAATCCCACCCCTGTTCAAGACTATATTGGAAAAGTCTTTATTTTAAGCAAAACAAAAACAAAAAAACAAACCTAGGGCACGAAGAGTGTTTTTCTTTTAAAACCCTTATTTTGCAATTATTATTATACTTCTGCACAATCTAATTTAGACCCCAATATGTTTTTGAAATCTCATCCTAAAGGGAAGGACCCACAGATAGTTGTCTTCATTACACTTTTCCAAGAAAAATAGTTTCTGGGAACAACACACAATGATCAAATGAAACCTTTGAGCCACAAATGCCGACTTATGGAACAGACGTGCCTGATGATCTGTGTGAATGTAACTCTAATGTTTTATAGATAGAGTTTTACTTACGAATGCCACATGAACTTATTTTTCAAAACTTGCCTTCCTCTCAAAAACAAAAATATTGCAATCTGTTACATCAAATGTCATCTATTTTAATAGCACAAGACTAAAGAACAAACAATAATTGTAAGCATTTGGCATGCGACCTTTCAAACACACTGACCCACAAAGGTCTGAACGTATTTTAAGGTGAATTCAGATCGTGCAGTGAGGTGTGCGATATTAAATATGTGACTCCAATACAAATTACACAGAACTTTTAAATTTTCCCCTCTATTTTGATTTGTTTTTTTAAAAAAATCACAATATGCTCCAATGTTTGGCACAAAACAATTACTTTCAGCCTCCTTCCTGTATTAATTCCTATATTAATAAGTAGATTAAACTGTACATTTATCTATTTATCTACCTGACGTCTCTCTGAGTTTAATGAAGATGTTAAATCTAAGCCCAGGCATCACAACTTCAGACAGGAGAAGGGGAATGTGCTTCTCTTGGGAGATATTCTTCCATAGTTTTTATTTTTAACGAAATGTCATGAGGAAGGGTTCCAAAACATTTACTGATTGATGTGTTGAATGTGTGTTGCCTGCTTTTTAGCATATAAAACTGAAAACTGACATTGAAGTGCAAAATATAATAATATAAAGATTTCAGAAATGCACTTAGGGGTTTTTTTTTAATTTTTATTCTCTTGGGCAGCCATCTTTGAGAAAATAATTTCTTTTTATAGGTGGGTAAATATATATGTGAGCCAGTTTGATGTAGTGGTTAAGGCAACGGGCTAGAAACCTGGAAACCATGAGTTCTACTTCCACCTTACGCACAAAGCAGCTTTCTCTCAGCCTTAAGAAGGAAGCAAGGGCAAAATCTTGCCAAGAAAATGGCTAGGACTAGTTCAGGCAGGATTAGTTCAGGCAGTTGATTGGAAGGTGCAGAAATAAACAAACAGCAACTACAGATAATTCTTGACTTACAACCACAGTTGACCCCGAAATTTCTGTTGTTGAGACAATTATTAAGTGAATTTTTACCCATTTTACAACTTTTTTTGCCACAGCTGTTAAGTGAAGCACTGCCGTTGTTAAGTTAGTAACACTGTTGTTAAATGAATCTGGCTTCTGCATTGACCCTGCCGATCAAAAGGTTGCAGATTGTGACCACATGACCATGGGACACAGCAATGGTCATAAATATGAACCAGTTGCCAAGCATCTGAATTTCAATCATGTGACTATGGGCATGCTGCAATGGCCATAAATGTGAAAAATTGTCATAAATCACTTTTTTCAGTGCCGTTTTAACTTTGAACGGTCCCTAAATGAACTGTTGTAAGTTTTTAGAATTTAGAATTCTTTATTGGCCAAGTGTGATTGGACACACAAGGAATTTGTCTTGGTGCAAATGCTCTAAATGTACATAAAAGAAAAGATATATTCATCAAGAGTCAAGAATCATAAAGCACAACACTTAATGATAGTCATAGGGTACAATAAGCAATCAAATCATACTAGGAAACAGTCAGTATAGATCGTAAGGATACAAGCAACTAAGTTACAGTCATACAGTCACAAGTGGGAGGGGTGGGTAATAAGGAGTGATGAGAAGATTAATAAGTAGTGCAGACTTTGTAAATAGTTGGACAGTGTTGAGGGAATTATTTGTTTAGCAGAGTGATGGTGTTCGGGAGAAAATGTCCTTGTATCTAGTTGTTCTGGTGTGCAGTGCTCTATAGCATCGTTTTGAGGGAAGAAGTTGAAACAGTTTATGTCCGGGATGTGAGGGGTCTGTAAATATTTTCACAGCCCTCTTTTTGACTCGTGCAGCATACAGGTCCTTGATTGAAGGCAGGTTGGTAATAATTGTTTTTTCTGCAGTCCTAATTATCCTCTGAAGTCTGTGTCTTTTCTGTTAGGTTGCAGAACCAAACCAGACAGTTATAGAGGTACAGATGATAGATTCAATAATTCCTTTGTAGAACTGTATCAGCAGCTCCTTGGGCAGTTTCAGCTTTCTGAGTTGTTGCAGAAAGAACATTCTTTGTTGTGCTTTTTTGATGATGTTTTTGATTTTAGGTGTCCGTTTTAGGTCATGTAATATAATAGAACCTAGAAATTGAGAACTACCTGTATATTGCTGTGAAACTGAGAGACTCAGAATGTGTAGCACATCCTCTTCAGAGGTCCCTAGTTTTGGTAAGAATATGCCACTGAATTACAAAACATACTGGCCTCTTTAGACTAGGTTTCACTAGTTAGACTTCAATTCCTGTAACTTAGAGAATTCTCGAGCAACAAACGAAATAATTATTTTTGCTCCATCGTGAGTTCCGTGTAGTGAGCCGTGTAGTGACACCACTAAAAGAGGCTCATCTGCTGACCACTCCTGACATCTTTTCAGATAATAGAAACATCAAGAGGAGTTTCAGGTGTAGATTGCTGTAAGCTAGCATTCTGATTTGGGAGAAGACATGTCATATAGTCTACCATATTTGTTTGCCTTTGGTCTTGCAGCTGGCAGATTTCCGAAGAGTCATCTCTCGCATGCTGGGTCTCAATATCGACACTGTGGCTCTTCCTGACTATGAAATAGTAACTCGTCTTGAGGGGTTGATCCATTCTCATCAGCATCTTTGCTCTCCTTGTGCCTGCTTCAAGTGTCAGTGAAAGAAGATAGACTCTTACAGCTTCTCCACTGGATGCCTCCTTTCTTTCTACAAATAATAGTTAAAACAGCAGAAGTCCAGGTGGATGTTCCAAAAGTTGACATTTCGTTGCAATACCAATGAAGTACCTTAATAAACAATATAATTGGGTGAACAGCTTAAGGTCTCAGCATCAAAACTGAAACAAAATTCTCATAATCATCAAAAAGTGGAATCTCTCAGATGCCTGATATTGAGCAGTGACTCCCTCTGTTCTATAAACTATCCTGAGAGTGGAAGGGCAGAAGGAGGAAAATCTTCTGTGAACAGATATTTCCAGATGCAACAGATCCTCTTAGAATACAAGTGTATGTGCCAATGCGCTTTCTTTGTAAAACAAGAGATGAGATTATTTCACAAGTAATTGTCAAGTAAATGGCAAGTCACAGAACAGATGTTCCTGTGTCTTCAGTTTTCCCATGTATATATATAATGTGCCTGTTTCGAGTCTGTGGCATGTATAGGAAGTTCCCAAGAATATCAGTCCATTTTTAATATGTTTACAATAGTGATTTAAATATTACAAGAGTTCTTTAAAATTGCATCCAATTTTAACATGTCAAAGAATTACTAAAATTTGAGGAAGAGTATTAAGCTAGAACTTACAGTACTTGGAAGAAGTATCACATTGGCACAATTAAACAGATAAGATTAGCACTTGGACAGCTAAAATTAAAATAACAACTGATTAAAAAATTTAAAACATCCATTTTGGCTTCAGTCCCATAATCCATGAAATATTTTCCATAGGGTCCTCAGATTTCTTGAACCTTAGCTTCTAAGAGCAGAGAAATGTTCATTTTAAAGGAGAAACGTCATACCTCAAGCTTCATAAGTAAAATAATAGCAATATCCATATTCAGTATTTCTCTGGTGTTAGGATTTGCCAAGACTGACTATGAATAAGTAGTATTCCTAGTCATTCCATGTTCCACCATGACCCAGAATTAGGGAGAATTATGTTAGTTCTTATAGTAACATTGTTCATTTCACTCTTTTTGGCAACAATAGAAAGTTAAGACCAAGAAAAATCAACACAGGAAGGGAAATGGTGGCATATTTTTCTTGCTGAAGCTTAAATACATAGATGCTTTGACTTTTTAGTAATCTACCAAATTAGCAAAGACTTAGTAATATTACAGGATCGGAGATTTAGAAGTGACAATCCATTCATCACAGGACAGCTCCCATAACTCAGTATCAGGCAGAGATTTAGAAGATCAAAGGTTCAATACTTCGCTAATTTAAGAAAACTTGAATCTACTATTCTAAACTACACCCCTTTTAGTAATTTAAATAAATGCTTTGAAAATGTCTATCTAGATCAAGTTTCTGGTACTATTTCCTTTGGTAGAAATAACATTTGGAAAATAGTTGTCATTTTTAAGTGCTGTGTGCATTTTTTAAAACAAACCTGTAGGTTTTAATGAGAATAAATCATTGCTGGATAGAATTTTGGGGGTCATTTTGCAAAATGTCTTTCATTTTCTTTGGAGTCTTGCTGAAACATTCTCTTCTGGTTATATGTAAAGATTGAATTGTAAATCTCCATTTTCTAAAAGAATATCTAAATATCTGTTTAAAGTTTCACATGTCTGACCTACTGAACAGGTAATACAGTAGAATGTCAGATCGATAGAAAACACGGGCTGCAACCAAAAGAGCTGCTCAATTTCCTGTGAAATATGTGGGTGGCTTATAAGATTTCTTTCAATTGCAGGGAAGAGTATCTTGTCACTGATAATGGCATGAACTTGCCAGATCTCCCTGGTTAGTCCACCTTCCCATTCCTTCTACCTGATTTTTTGGGTCTAAGAATATGGCTATATCCCAGGTCAAAGCATTCCATACCGGCTTGTTAATACCTGTTTTTGTCCCTTCATCTGTACTCTCAAGGGAACAGAATGAAAGACCCATTTCCCCCCATGATTAAGTTTTTAAATAAATGACACTTATTTGCTCATGTAACCAGCAGTATCAAACAAGGTGGTTATGGAATAGGTATAATAATACAAAGGAATGGAGTAATTTTTTAAAAAAATGAGGACATCCTTGAGAAGATAGACTAGTTATAACATATTAAGTAAGTCAAGGATCTGCATGTTACAGCTAGTCAACTGTAAATAGACTGAGCAAATGAGATAGGGAGGCAAAGAATGGGACACATACTGAGCAAACTGAATAGAAAATGAGAAATAATTCAAATACCTCCCCCATTTTTTCCTGCCAAGTTTGTGTCATTGGTTCCAGGTAGTCCAGAGGTTTGGGGACATTGGGTCTGAAATCCACACCTAATCTAGATACAAATTGCAGTTCATCCCACCAGATCACCTGGGGAAAATGAATTTCTAATATATTCACTTCCTGATTCCTATTTGAGAGTGTGACTTTAATTATAGAATACTTAGAAGACGCCAGTCAAAAAGCCACTACCTTAAAAGTAATAAATTGTTTTACAAGCCTGCAGCATTTTACACATTTTTCTATGAAACAGAAACCTTTTTTCTAATGTATTTGAAACTTGACAGATCTATTGTCTTAAAAAAATAAAAAGAATGAATTTGGGTTCTTAGAAATAAAGTGCTCTTGGTACTGTACTGAAGACATTGCTCAGTTGGGAAAAAAAAAAGAGAAGAATGATTTGGGAAATTTGGAGTTACATTGAATGAAAATTGAAATGTAATGTCACAAACAAATTGAATAATTAAGGATTTTGGCACACTTTTGATAGATATTAAAGTACCACAAGAATCAAAATCAAGCATAGGTGGCTCATAGCGGCATGTCCCAAACTGACTTCTTCCAGATTTTTTTCATCTGCAGTTCTTGAAATTGGTAAGCTAATGTGGGCAAAGATCAGGGAATATGAGACAAATAACCTATAACTTCTGCAAAAGTCATCTAGATTCTAATGGGAGTCCTCAAAGAAAGTAGAAGCATTCTGATAAGCATAGAAGCTTTTAGAAGTAACAGTGAGCAAACAATATGTGGATGGATTATGCAAAATAAGCTTTTTTTTTTCCAAAAGAATATAGTGGTATCAGGAAGAAACAGTACGTGTGCAATCCTCAGCATATTTGCAAAGGACCTTATCTGTTGTAAATCTACTTCTACCAGGAAGTAAGGATAGTAGTTTCTCTACTGCTATGCAGAGGATGCTCAGAATGGGAGGAATATTGTTCATAATTACCAAGTGGCATGTAGACATTTTCACCCATTTGCTACTGATAGTCCTCTAAAGAACAATCTCTAAAATATTTTGGTTATGATGCAGGTGATTAATTATAGGGTGCTGTCAACATGAACAATATTTAATTAAAAAAGGCTTTGAATTGTAGAAAACAGTGAAATAGCAAAGAGACACTAAACAAAATCTACTGGGAAAAATGTTTGGCAGCATTAAAAGTCAGATTCTGATTTGTAGAATGCCTGAAGACCACATATATTACTTTATGATTTTCAAGAAATGTTGGATGTAAGTTCTATTAACCATATTTTATTTAAGAGAGAAAAAGAATCACAGCAAACCATCATTAGGGCTCTGTATTTGAAGACGCTTAGAGTATATTTCCATATTTATTGTCAGCCTCACTGGAGATTCTGGGAATTGTCCAACACAGTAGGAAGGATTAATTTTTATTGTTTGCTGACATAATTAAGATGTTTGTAACATTCCCTATTTTGTAGGATCTCAAAGCATGTTATAATCAATAAAACCAGTAAAACCATAGAAAGTGGTTAAAGAAAGCTGACCACTGAACTAATGTTTTACTCCTTTATTTCATCCCATATGAGTAAAAGAAAAACACGTAAAGAATGTATAAGAGATACACCCTTTTCTAGACTGGGACATCCTTCCCTCATTCATGCTGTAATAATCTCATGGCTCAACTGTGGCAACATGCTGTACATGGAGCTGCCCTTGAAGACTATTTGTAAACCTCAACTAGTCCACAATGAATTGGTGTAGGTAGTTAAGGACATGCGTTAGTATGCTGATGTGACACCTCTGCTCCACATGCTACATTGTAGACCACTTCTGGATATGATCCAAGGTGCTACTCATGACCTATGAAGCCCTCCATGGCATAGGGCCTGATTATTTGAAAGACCACCTTATCCCTCATATGTGTGCCTGACTTTCTCAGGCTCACAAGTTTGCCACACCAGACTTTATTTCAAGGTCTTTCAAATAAACCATGCCATTTATCACGATATCAGGAAGCAGGTATTCTCTGACATAAATGTCTGCCTTCTGGAATGAGATTCCTTTTGAGATCAAAATGGCTCCCATCCTGCTGGTGTTTTAGATGGTTACCAAGACTTGATTGTTCTTTCAGGTCTGGACCCCCTCTACTGGATGTTGGATGATGGGATGTCTGCATAAGTGGAATTTTCCAGGAATGGGCAAACTGCAGATGCTGGACTACCTCAATTGGTAGAGCAACTGGATGGGCTTGAAAGTCAACTTTTGCACCTTGGTTTCCCCATCCTTGCATTAAACCTTTAAACCAATGCTTGCTGCTTTTATATTTCACTTATTCACTTCTTATTGCTTCCAGTATTCCATATCTTCAATGGAAGCTATAAAGCTGCAGATTTCCACATCTTATAGACGATTAGGTCAACTGACTATCTCAAGTAATCTGTATTATTAGTTGAATTGGGTTCTGAACCAAATTCATAAAGTGTATGTGTGAATGTATGCACGTAAGCACTTCCCACACAATGCATATAGACTTACATGCATACATATGCATTGTAGTAACTAAGACTACTTTTACCATATCGTTGTCTTTTCACAGATGATGAATACAAGATAACATATGGTAAAATTATATATGGATCAGTGCACTTCCACACAGGTAATTTAGCATGAAACAGATTGTTTGTGATTGCAGCAATCTACAGTGTATGCTTCACTGGAAATAAGTGACTATTAGCATATTCAGTGATAGACCTATCTTATTCCTATATTTTTAGTAAGAGCTACTGTGCCAGGGCTTGTCTCAACTGTTGAAGAAAGCTGGGAGATGGAGAAAAGAAGGTGCATGGGAACGAATTTG